TCAGCTCCCTAGCTGCCGTTACTCTGTTACCATAAAAGATGAGCTTTTTTTCTCTCCCTTCAAGCTGTTCTTCTAAAACCAGGTGTGTTCTATAGGCAGGGGTGTGCTGTATACAAAAAGAAAAGAAAAATGGTAATTACTCTTTCCACTTGTATATTGACAAGAACTCAGAACCTGTTTTATGTTGGGGGTGGTGTATTGTTATTTCTTTGTCAATAAGCAGCAGAAAGGGAGTCATTTAAATTATGAAAACAACTTGTTTATTTATGGATACCATACTTCATGTGAAAAGTATTGCATTTAGTAGAAGTGTAGTATGTAATGAACACTTTCACGGTACATCATTGGGTACTTTCAAAGGAACATTCTGGGACCATATCATAGACTGCATGCAAACAAAAGTACTTGCATAAATCTTTTACAGATCATATTTATTTTTGTGTAAAATAAGTTTATGTAAGATTATCAAATAAAATCATGTTTTATGTTAGAAATACCAAGGTTTTCATCCTGTTTTCCTGGAAGGGCATCTTGGGAATGGTAAATGCTCATGGATTTACATTAAGAAGTCTCTTATATTGTAATTAATGGGTTATTGCAAGGCCACCACAGAACCCTGGTATATATTCTGTCATGGTATATAAAATCATAGAAAATTAGGATTGGAAGGAAGGGACCTCAGGAGGTCATCTAGTCCAGTCTCCTGCTCAAAGCAGAAGTAGTCCAAACTAGATCATTGCAGCCAGGGCTTTGTCAAGCTGGTCTTAAAAACCTCCAAGGATGGAGATTCCACCACCTCTCTAAGTAACCTGTTCTAGTGCTTTATCACCCTCCTAGTGGGAGGGTGTAGTGTGTGGGGGTTATGGTAGGGGGAGAATGGGGTGGGAGGGTATAGGTGTGTGTGGGAGGGGGAGTCCTCAGAGTCCCCAGAGTGTGCCAGTCCCTGGACCTGCATGTGTTGGCAGCAAGCGGGGCTAGCCTCACCCAGCCCCATAGTGTGCAGCTCCCTTGCTGTACATGGTGCAGAGTGCAGAGCCGGCCCAGCCCGGTCCCATAGCCACAAGTCCCTGCCACACATGGTGGCAGTATGCAGGGCCAGCCTGGCAGAGACCTATAGCGAAAGGCTCCCCACACTGCCACCCCTTTCCTCCAGTGGGAGGCCCTGGGTCTGGCCTGGTGGGGCCCTTACCTGAATTCCCAGTCTCGCAGGCGGGAAGCAAAACCTCTATCAGACAGAGGCTTCTCACCTCTAGTGCTGCCCCAGCTCAGGGCGGGGGGCTGCGGCGGGCTCTTCCTGGTGGAGGGGGAGGCTGACCTGTGCTGCACTCAGGGCAGGCAGCAGCGACACTGGGATTGGGGCTACAGGAGGGCTGCAGCCACCCCAGATTTTGCCATAGCCCCCCTTCCAGTGCCACAACTGCTGTGCACCTTAAGCACAGCACAGCAGCCCAGCCCCTGCCATCAGGAAGAGCCTAGTGCAGCCCCAGCCCACAGCTGTAGTCCACCCTGCCCACCCCCATGCAGATCCAGGGGCACACTCCCCCCCTGCCCTCCCAGGGTGCTCATAGCAGCAGAAGCCACCCCCCCACACACACACACCCTTTGAACAAGCTGTGGCTCCATCCTGCACTCCACCCTGGCTGGGCAGTGCCTACCTCGGCCCCACTCCCTCCCTCACTGCCGGGGGCACTGATCTGCACCCCCCCCATGCTTCTTCCCTCCCTCCTGCCCTTCCACCATAACAGACTTACCAGCTGCACACAGCTCTTCTCACTGCCTGCGTGCTGCGCTGTGACTGCGCTTGCACACAGGCATTTATCAGCCAAGTTATTGGCCACATCAGGCCAGTTTCCAATATAGTCAGTTTTCTTAATATCGGTGCCAATCTGATATTGGACCGATGTATTGGTGCACCTCTAATGACAAAAATTTGCTGGTGGTACTTAAGGCTGTATTGTTTAAATTGGTAGTGCGCAATCTGTCAGAGTTTGGGAGCCGCTGAACTAGTAGAAACATCTATATTTTAAATACTGCAAGTTGGCAACTTGTACAACGGAATCGTGCTGTACACCAAAAACGAGAGACGAAGACAGGAAACTTGCTAAGAAGCTGTCCAGCTAGTTGGGGAGACAAATGGATGTCATGCAGCTGCAGACGGGTTTGCCTTGGAGAATCTTAGTGAACCACAGTTGTGCATAGCAATACTGTAGGCCAAGTTTGTCAAACTCAAATGAGCTGGTGAGCTGGATCTGGACCACAGGGCTTCTTGCAGGCTAGATAACCCACTTTTGGATCAAGCTGCCATGTCAGCACTTCCAGCATCCAGAGAGTTAACAGCTCCACACAGTGCTCCTCACCAACTGCTGCAGAGTTTAGTCATCAACAGCAACTGAAAAGGCTAAATTCAGTAGTGGCATTCATGCCTTGGGTGCTGACTGCCAGTCCAGTGGCTATGATTGCTGCATTTAACTCCTTTGTTGCTAGCAGGGGTTGAAGAACAGTGGTGTTAACGCCTTTGCTACTGACAGCCCCAGCCAGAAGCCCCAGAGGGCAGGTGGTTAACAGCCCTGCCTTACGTTAACAGGTCCTGCCTGTTTTGAGAACATCAGATATTGAGACCTCCCTTCTGCTAATCCCAACTTCAAAGAATAGTTCCCATGCAACTCCTCCCCTCTCAGAAGAGCCAATATATTCCCACCACCACATTTTTATGTTTCCTCTACAGAAATATATTGACTCTGTTTTGGAAAATTCTGCACTGTTATGTGTTATATATTAAATTAGTAAAAAAAGAAAATAGTTATCCTCACGCAAAATTTCATTAGGCACAGCTCTCCCTAGTAGGCTTTGTATTTCAGAAAGAGTGTGCTGTGTCATATTCATTGACTTCATAACATTACAATTTTTTCCCCCTTCAGCTTGCTGTCAAAGTGAAAGCACAATGTTTTCTTGATCCTGGCTGTCAGTCTTTGGTGACATTTAATACTGGATATTTCTCTGACTGTTTAATGCTTCCAGAGGCATCTAGCTTGCTCTCTCACATAAGTAAAATAAAGCATCTATAATACAAGACAGATAGTTCCCTGAAGCCTCCAGTTTTGTATTGAAACACCTTCAATCTCCCCTTTTGTTCCTCCAAGTGCATGTTCCGTAGACATTCTGCAGTTACTTAAATATATGCAGTTCTGTCCTTCGTAAGCCAGAGAAGCAGACAGTAAGCTGATTCTCGCAAAATAGCAGCTGGAGCCATATCATTCATGCCTGTAGTGGTATGGGTAAGCAAACATCCCATTTTCGTTCCCTCTGATGGGGATACATTTTTAAAAATCCTGTTGTCATCTGTGCTGCTCAGTCCCAGGCTTAGTGAACCTGCTGGTGGTCAGACAGGACTTTCATCATCATGAAGAAATGCCTCCGTTCAGATAAACTCCAGAACCTGCAGGGGGAAAGGGCGGGGGCAGGAAAGAGACCTAATTAGCCCATGGGTCCCATTTTTGGCTCCTCTACATCCTCAGAATATAAACTATTCAGAGTCAGTTATAGCCACCTAGGTATTGCGAAGTTTTTTGACCCAGGGCAGCCATATACCCACAATAACAGTGTTTTACCTCCTGTGACCCAACAGTTTTGAAAACCTGTTCACCAGAATGAAACTAGTTAGTCACTGACTGGTAGCCACTGGAAGGGAGGAGCTCCCAGATGACGAGGCATGAGGCCTCTGCTTGGTTGAGGGTACTGGTGTTTCATCATTGCAGCTCTGTAGTGAGCTTAGCACAGATTTCCAAGGAGGTGGCTTTCCATATCCTGAAGCTGCAGCTGTACTAGAATAGCTTTATTAGCTCTGTAGTACTGTCCTGTCCCATCAGTTAGTGCTCATTAGCAGTGCTCTTATTTATAACCAGTTCAGAAAACTTTGGTACAGTATAATCTCATAGATCCGGATATCAGAAATCCAGAATTATTGAAAATGTGGCACTTTTTAAAACTACACTCCATCGGGGAGTAGCAGGAGGTGGCTCCGGAGCAACGGGGGCAGGGAAGCTTGCACACAGTGGCTGCCGCTGCCATCCACCACCCTGTGCCGTCGCTCCATGTGCAGCCGCTGCTTGGGCACTGCCTGCCACCCCTTCTTCCCTGCCGCTCCTGCACCGGCCGCCATTCCAGTTTCACAAATCTGGAATTTTCACATTTCTGGCAGGTGCTCCGTCCTGAGTATGCCAGATTCATGAGGTTATACTGTATATACCTTCCAAGTTTGTCTCCAAAGTTAGGGGTAAAACTATAGTTGTATGGTGATGTTCTTCAGTCTCCTGCAAGGCTGCCAGCATGCAGGTTTGCCAGTTTGCAATCCTGCTTGCATTATGTATGAATAGTGGTCAGGAATGTGGTACTCAGCAGTGTTTCTTCTGTAGTACATGAAATTGTTTTTAAAGTGTTTTGGAGATGGCACTGACTACTGTAGCTATATATAAGTACCATCAAATGAATTGCGGGTGTTTTGACATAAAGGCCTAGAATTCCAACAGGTTCTGGTAGGTATCTCACACTCTATTGCAATGAGTTGTAATGCACTGAGCCTAGTGGAAGACCATTGTTAATTGGTATTTGGGATACCAGTCCAGAATGGTTATGCTAATACTGAGAAAACTCAGTGCTGTGCAGGCAGTACTATGCACATGGGAAAGTTTAAAGTGTTGTAGACAGCAATGTGGACACACCCTTTCAGTGCAGTTATACCAAAATAACTATCTAAAAAATTAAGAATAAAAACATTGAAAGAACAGGTAGCAGAACGTATTCCAATGTACATGGTTTTTGGTGTAGTCAGGCTGCTTGGAACATTGTTAACCTGTATTTAATTAATCCATTTTGTTTTGGAAAATACGGTGTCCACTTGGGGGATTTATAATGATAGATCTTGCCTGGTAATTCTTTCCTGTCTTAAAGTTGATTTTTCTTCAGTCTCTCATAACGTGCCTTCCTATTTCTTTATTCGACAGTCTTCAGCGAATGCATGATCTGTATTTCTAAGTTATAAAACAAGCAAGAAAAAAATAGTTTCAAGCTCTTTCTATATTGCAATTCTGCAACTATCAGAGGGTATGTGGGGTTTCTTTTTTGTATTTTCTGGAAACTTGTGTTTTACTTGATGAGGTTTCTGTCTCTTTCTAATAGCAAATGAGAAAATGTTAAGTTTCTGTCTAAGCTAAAGCTGTATTAAGAAAAAAGACAAATTGAGGAAACGTGGGTGTATAATTGGATATGGCTGACTTGCATGGATTTAGAATGCCTGTAGGTTTTAAAATTCTAAATGGTATTAAAGAGATTTGAATGGTATGACATAATGTAACAGCATGGACTTCACCAGCATTTCCACACATACTACACACAAGCACTGAGTCAGCTGGGCTATAACCTGTTATTGCTGTGTAAATAAAAGAAAACCTTTTAAATTTAAGCTGCTTTGCTAAAACTTGCCATTTTTATGAGTAGCCTGACTTTGTCATCTACATATGCCTGTTGAAATTGTCTACTCTCTGTCACGTGGAGGAAACAGTTCTCTTGAACTTAGAGAAATATTCAGTAAGCATTTTAAAATTAAGTTTTATTTAAAAATAATGTCCATTGGGATAGGTCTGAGATGCAAGTTCTGATTGCCATGATTGGTTTTTTGCTAATTCTTGTTTAGAGTATTAACAATAGTATTAGCAAGCTTCAGGGAACAGATGCAAGAGCAGAGTTCTGTGGTTAGGGCTGGTACTGATAAGGCTTCATTGCTGTTTTGAAAGAAGGTTCTTTTCCCCCCAGTCAGCATGGGGGAAAAAAGCCTCATCTTGGATTTAAGTACCAGCCTGGGACAGGTACTAGGGGCTGAAGCTGGAGCTGAGCTGCTGCCTGCCCCAAGTGGGGATGGCTTATTTGGCAGGCAGGGGGAACACTGGGGACAATGGTGGGGTGGGGGAGAGCAGTGGGGAGAAACGGAGGACACCTGCATGTGTGGCTCAAGGGAAACATGGAGGGGACTGTTTAGTCTGCCTCCTCCCCAGCTGTTACCTATCCCTCTTACCTTCAGCTGCAGTCCCTCCAGCTAGGAGAAAGGGGTCTGATCCCTCATCCCTGCCACTGCTTTACCTGCCACTGCAGTGTGGGGGGGATGAATTTAAAACAACCTTCCACTGATCAGATTCTATACTGGAAAATTATAACACATTTATAATTTTCCATGCATAGAGTCTAATTATTAAATTTATTTTTTTTAATTTAATTTGTAAGTTATCTTGAATTTGGGCAAATACAGTATTGACAGCAGAATATGGTTTAATTGCTTCATGTATTCAAACAGTCTTCAGGAGCTTCCCAGAAACCGGGGTGGGCAACCCATAATGTGTGCTACAAGTATTTGTTTGTGGCATGCAGCAGATCAGGGAGGGAGCAGGAAACGTACCAACAGATAAGGCAAGGAGCAGAGAGCAGAGCAACAGGTCAGGCAGGGAGCCGAAAGTACAGCAAAAGGTTGGACACAAGGGGCGCATCCAGACATGCACGGTCATGCAGTTATGTGGGGCTGCAAATGTGTTGCAGTGCCACATGCTGCACAGTCCTGTGTTCTCCACGCTGCAAGGGCTTGCTGGCCAAGCATATGCTGTGCCAGGGGAGCGGTTCTGCAGAGTTTTTTGACTCCTTGATATCCACGGGTCAAAAAAAAACACACAAAAACCAGAGCAACACATGCTTGGCCAGTGCATGCTGAAAAGCAGAGCCGGGCCACCTGGATCCATGGCAGAATCACTGTGGCGGAAGCCCCCAGGACCCCAGGTAAGGCTGCTGGGGGCAGCCCAGTGCTGGCCTAAGCTTTCCCTACTGCCCCCAGAGCAACTTGCACATGAAAGTG